TATGATCTGTAATGTGATTTTATTGATATGCTTTTATATAAAATATTATTATTTTTAATAATACAGGTGTATAAAATTTATCATATAATTTTATTACAATTAGTTTACGATTAGTTATACAGATTACATTATTATTTATTACCTTATATCACACTCTATCAGGTTTTGTTTTACTAATTAAATCTGATAAGTAAAGAATATTTTTTATTTAAATATAAATTTTACTAATAAAAATTTCATTACTCTTTTCCTATCTTGTACTATTATATTATTACATAATTACTGTATATATAAATTTACATAGATTGATAATCTTATCCTTCTGACTTATCTCACTTTATCATGAAACAAAACTGATGATCTTATGTTAATCATTTAATTTATTCGATCATTTAATTCTCGGCATAATATACAAATTTAGAATTATTATACTGCGCAAGTTACTACAATTTCCGAGAATTCATTATTGGTCTCATATGAAATTAAATAATTCGCGTTTTCAAATCGTTCCCATCCTTGTGATTTTAATTTATGATGATTTATTTTTTTTTAAAAAAAAACATTTTTTTTTGCGATGCGTGCAATGCATATTACCCCACAATCTGCTCAGGCATTTCGCCCTTGATTATATTCGCCCCTCTTACAATAATTTCCAAATTTAATTTTATTACTCTATCTTGTGACCTTTCGAAGTTCCGATGATCAATGATTTTTGCGTAGCATTTTACAATTAGGGATAAGTATCATTTTTTTTTGACTCGGAGACGACTCGGTTTTCAATGATGTAATTGATCTATAAAATACACTAGAGCTGAATCACGTGAACAATCTTCAAAATTAGTGTGAAAATTGGATACATGCAAGTGCGTAGTTCAATGTTACTGATAAAAGTAGTCTTTTTAATAAAGTCAAATAAGTCAAATCCAACACCGCATCACTAACGATAAATAATAAAGGTTTTTTTTTTTATTATTATTTAAACAGAAATAGATTCTACAACGAACATGCGACCATCAAATAACCGTCTTCCAGTCTAAAGTTAATAATAATATCGCTGCAGTAAAAAAGAACTATTTATATAAGATATCAAAAATGATTATAATATAATAACATTATGTATTGTATTTTACAGATTCCTATTAACCAGTTTTATAAATCAATTGCGGATGATTTTACATATCAATTGCAAATTTACAGTAACTGCGAACTTACGGACTTATTCATATATGCTGTTGCAAATATAATTATCATATGTGTGGCCGTATAATTATATGCGTAATTCAGTTGTAATATCCGTAATCTTATTAATATAGAATGTTGTTATATGAAAAGGTGTAAAAAAAGAATCAAGTATTTAAAAAGATGCAACCTTTAGGCCTTCCTTACTGGTAAGTTGAATAATTTATATGATCAAAGACAAATTCAATATGCTTCATGGACAAACGTTTTATTATTAATCATTATCAACTGAAAAATAAAACGATTGGAATTTACAATTGCAATTGCTCAAAAGATAAGGTGGTAGGTTTACCTTTTCAGTGTTTTGATGATTCATTTGATTTCTGCGCCATTTTAATCTGGGGTGATCACGTGTACCTTTTGTATAGTCCATCCATTAAAGGCAAAGATTTGCAATATTCCGTGTACGTTGCATGGGAGGTTTCAATGCGTACAGAAATACCGAAAGAAAATTTGGGATTTCCCTATTTTTTCTCTTTTCCAATTGACTCAAATATACAAGTCTTTGAGAACTTAGTCTTCTCCCCGTTCATTGAATCGGTGCATCCATTGAGTCGCTCTTAAATTATTAGCTTCTTTTAAGTGAAGGTCAAATTATAAAATTATGTATTTGCCTTTCATACTGCGGTCGGTGTTGCTGATGTCAATTTATCAATATGCAGAGTCACATTCCAAGTTAGAATTCTTTGCTTTTATATGAAAAAAAAAATTTTTTTTTTTGTTTCTTTTACAATTTCGGAAATTCACTCTATTACTTTTATAAAATAATTTCATTTTTTACAAAACGACTCAGGGGTCATCTTACCGCAGTATCGAAAGTACGTGTATAAAAAGTCGAAAATTTTTTTTTTTTTTTTTTTAACGATTATCTCGACTTCAGACACCTCAAATTGTAACAACACACACACTAACAACGCACCTTTTTTTTTTTTTTTTTTTTTTTTTTTATTTAAAAAAAGAAAAAAAAAAAAAAACCACACCCTACAAAATGTCATCACAAAATGGCAACGTAAAACCAACCTCCAACCAAACGCTAGACAAAATTTCGAGCTCATCTGCTAGAGTTTCCATGGGGGAACCACTTAAATTTAATATGAATGAATATCTTGAAAAGAGGAAGCTCGAGTTAGCAGGTGACACCATAGGCCTCGAAGAACTAGAGAAGAAGGTCCGTCAGCGTATGGAATCTGAGTTAGCTTCTGGTAAGTTTAAAATTTTTTAATGCAAAAAGCTTAACCACTATAGCGGAGCTAATTCTTTTTGTTTTCAAATATTATGCCTTTCTTTTAATGAAGTTGCAAAACAGGAAATTCCAACAACCAAGACGTCTACATTGAATACTGGTGGCGACGTGTCCGTCAACAAGTGTAAAAACGGAGTAGTAACTCAGAAAAGACAACCAGCTACTTCATCGACTTCTAAGGCTAGTGGTAATGTGACGATAAATGATGAGGAAAAGAAAGCTGCAGTTAAGAATGAAAGGACAATCGCTACTGCGACGTCAAAATTAAAAAATACTAGTAGTGGAAGTTTGCCTGTTAACAAAGAGAAGCAGGCTGGCTTAAACCAAATAAAGTCAAAATCCTCCTTATCTGTACCAAAAGGGGTCACGGGAATTTCTGCTGTAATCAATAAAGGAAAGCCAATTTCAAAGGGTATTGGCGGGAATTTGATTGCTAACAAAGTGAAACAATCTATTCCCTTCCATCTGGAAAAGCCAACATCTTTGACATCTACCTCAAAAAGTATTGGCGGCAATTTGCCTAATAACAAGGGCAAACAAGCTGTTTATCAAGGAAAGGTAACATCTACTAGTGATAAATTGCATCCTAAACAAGTTGCTATTAAACAAGAAAAGACGAGAACATTATCAAGGTCGAGTAATAAAAGTGCAATCAAGTCGATACCAAGATTGCAAATGTATGTTGAGAGATGGAAGTTATCACGAGAAAAAGATGGGAAATATAAGCCTTTGGAATTATTTTTGCCTTCAGAGATTTTAAATGATAAGAATTATATGCCTACCGTGGAACAAATTGCAAGAGAATTTGAATTTGAGAGACTTCGAAGGCTTTTAGAGCAAGATAAGGGAAAGTCGGACGGTGATAAAAAACTTGATCGTAAGAGAATCGAACATCTCAATACACGATTGGAAATTGCAGCCTTCAGGAATGAGAAAGGTCCTAAAAAGGATGAGCAAATCCGTGCTCATATAGCTTTTCTTAATGAAAAAAAATTTTTTAAAAATAAGGTGACCCCGTTAGACGTCATTGAGAATCCTAATCTTTTGAAAAAAGGTTTCGAACAATTTCAAGAACAACAAAGAAAGAAGAGTCAAGAAAAGGGGTTACAGCGAAAAGATATAGAAAAGCAATTGTTGGAAAGGAAAAGAGCTGGAGAAACATGGGAACGTGATTTGCAGCGGAAAGAAAAGTTTACGGAAGGAAGGAAAATGGAAAAGAGATCAGCAGATAAAAGACGTCATCAAGAGAGAGTTGTAGAAACGAAAAGACGTCAAGAAAATTTTACAGAAGCAAGAAGAAAACTGGAAGTAGAAAAGGAACGGGCACGCAGACAAAAATCGTCTGCTGAAACAGAAGGTCGATATAAGCGAGTAGTGGATGATACCTTACGCCCAGGTCATCATAACGTTCAAAAAAAAAGAATTACGAATGGGAATGAAACCTTGCACAAGAAGAGAAAGTTTGATGAACGTTCGGAGGCTACCTCCTCTTCTCGAGTAAAAAGAAGGAATACTGGGAATGACGAATTCGATATTTATAGATTGGATGAAGAAACGCTTAAGCAGAATATGTCCTCAATCATCCATTCATTAATACGCCCAGGGAGGCGACCCATCCATGGGATGGTAGACGATAATGATGATGACATAATGGAGGTATCTGGGTATCAAGTATTGCGTGAGGAAGCACGCAGTTCCCGTCTCGCAAAACAAGAAGACGAGGAGGAAGAACGTTTAGAACAACAAAGACGCATGAAAAAGAAGGACAAAAAAGTCAAACGTTAAGTCTTTGATGAGACTGAATTTTATATATATCCTCTTGAAGTTTTACCCTTTTTGTATATTTAGAATCCTTCCACGAACTTTTAGATCAAACTTTACTATATATAGAATATTATTGAATGGATTTAAGCAAACCTATTCAAAATATCTATATATATATTTTAATTATTTGTTAAGATTTTTAACTTTTACTTTAAATATTATTTCTTAAAGGACTTTGATATTTCATAAAAACTTAAAGGACTTTAATCTTACATAAAAGTATTTTTATTATTATTATTATATTATATATATATATATTTGCATATTTGCACCTTTATAACAAATAATCATAATTGAATAATAAAAAATGTATATATCGGTGGATTCAAAATTAGATATCTCTTTCTTTCCTATTTGTATAAAGATAGATAAAAAGCACTGGATGTTTTTTGGGGGGAGAAAAATATTAGATAGCTTGAATTCATGGACATTTTTTTTGTACATAAACAATAAATTTGGTCTTTTGATTGAAAACTTCTGACATCACAAATTTTTTTTTAAGAGATTAATTATTCAAAAAGATTGGTTACGTCATTCAGCAAAGATTCTACTAAGATCTTTTAGATCAAGATACCCACACATCCACGTGATTTAAATCAAAGCTTACGATTCACGTGCCTTACGCAAATCCTGATAAAAAAGAACCAAAAACGCCGCCTTCATAATTTTTAAGCAATATGAACATTATTTAACTATGGCACACTCCCACGAAACAAAAGTTCCTAAACGTGCTTCTTTTTTACGTGGAGTTTTCGGTGGTGGTGCTGCACGTCCACGGACAGATGTTTCTATCGTAGATACTTTAGGTTTAGATCCTCTTATTGCGGAATCTAGTGAAGTAAATGGTGAAGACGCTCAACCACCACCACAACCTTCTAATAATCTCAAGAAAGGAAAACCTATAGATACTAAACTCCTTGTTCAAGAACTACGAAAACCATATCCTTTACTCACGCTCATTAAACTTGTTAGAGAATTATGTAACATAGTAACAAAATACACTTTCTCAGATATGGCTGAAGTCTGGTTTTGTGTTAACGAACTTCTTACTCCTGATAGGCCATTTGATGCGAGAAACGTTGCTTTTCAGTTCATGATAGCTTGTATTAAAAGTCAACATCGTGATAATTTAGGGTTTCTTAGAATAATATTTTATGATTGTATCAAATCTCATAATATTAAAGAGGATTTTGAGATTAGGTTATTAGCTTTAAAAGAACTTTGTAATGATGGAAGAGATATTTCTTCTTTCGAAAAAAATTTAGTAAAATTGCTTTCAGAATGGGTTAATGAGACAGTACAACAATTGGACGATCAATCAACATGTATTCATCAGAACGAACAGGCGAAACCTATTCCCCCATTATCATCATCTTCCACGACTTCTTCACAAGATGGTTCAAATTCTTCCCTTCAATTATCATCATCATCAACAATATCATCATCATCATCTAGTACGGCAACGGAATCATCAACTTCTGAATTGACTATACAACAAAATTCCGAACCTACAAGGTTACAATCAGTGGTTAGTTTATTAATAAATGTGATCAAATTTCATTTCGCACAATTTGAGGAACCTGATATTTCTCGGCTCATTGAAGATATAGCAATCGCTTGTAAGAAATCTAAGGACATTCCAGATATTGAATGTTGTCTGAGATTTTGGGATGTTGTTGTACGTTATGGTTATGTGCCAACAATTTCATTGAAATCATATGTTGATGTACTATGCGATAAACTTAATCAAGAAGGTTCAATTTCACAAAAAAGTTGGCATATTATGCGGAACCTTTTAAAGAGTCATTGTGCATATAGCACAATCAAAATTCTTTGCAGTAATTTGGAGAATAGTGAGTCTGTCACTTCTCCGCAGATCTTGCGTGGTTCTGTTTTATTTTTGGGATGGGCAATATGGGGCCCAGAAGGGATTGATTCTCTTTCACATACTTATTCCACTGTCCTTTCTGCAATGAGACAGGCCATAAATAATTGTGGTGATGTTGATGTTCATTGTGAAATTTTAATACAAATCAATGATCTTATCGCAAAATATGAAAAGAACATTACTTCATTGGAGTGGGAAATTATAATAGATATTTTGGATCATACCAAATATCATTTGTTAGATAATGGTCCTTTAGCAGGAAGAAATACAATAATGTCCGATAATCCTACAAACATATATTCAGTTGATAATGATGGGTCATCAATGGTGGTTAATGCTTATAGTAGGGTGATATTTCAAATACAATCTCTGCACATGTTATCTTCTTTCGAAGGTCCAACCTTACGATTCATTGCTCTTATTCAGGCATTAAGAGATTATGTTTCTGAAAATACCATTTTAATGTTACTTGATTATTACGATTCTGAACATTTGCTTTACCCATCATCTCCGGATTGGCTTGCATTATTAGTTGATGTGGTGAACACATTTTACATAGCTAAAGTTCCTTCAAGGATACGTCAACGCGTTCTCTCTATGACGGTTGATGTCTATGAAACTACAAAAGATTTTTATCTGGATAAACTTCTTGAAGCTGTTATATTACCAATGTTTATGGATTTCCCTAGGGATAATGACATTGAAGTTATTAATAATTCTATGGACTTTTTAGTTTCTGTATTAAAAGAGGTATCGGACCATTGGTTTAATCCTTTGCTCAAAATTCTAGTACAATGCGTTCCTTGCGTTTGTCAACAGCGCCCAAATCATCTTGCGGGATGTAAAAGTTCAATTTCAATTAATGGCCTTATCAGCATATTTCAGCATTGCTTGTATAAAGTTGATTCACCCGCACAAAGTGTACAAGTGTATGAAGAAATGATAAGTCTCCTCGATGACTTTTCAACTCCCGTGATATGTCGTCTTGCATTGTTACAGCTATTTGCTCGTATGAGAGCTGATAATGATCATAGGATTTATTTCATAGAGGACGTGGATGTTGTGAGTGGAGCTTATATTTTACATCGGAATAAATCTATTATTGAGAATACTTCACCCCCCGTAAATTCAGAAAAATTTATAAACGGTACGGGTTCTACTGGTTTAGGAGTTGAGCTTAAAACTAGTTTTAAAAAAAAGATCGAGCGAAGGTCTAGTTTGAAAGAAGTGGCTTCAATACTTCTTGATCGAAGGGAAAATAATAGTAAATCTACTCCTCTTCAAGTAGAAAATAGCAATATCCCCGAGGAAGAGATCATTACCCCGTTGGAACGTCTTTGGCAAATTCCTGAAATTTTACGATGTCGGCTTACAGCTTTACGTCCTAGTCCATATGTACTTTGTTTTGATAAGTCATCAAATAACAAAATCAATGCTAATCAGGAGAATTTCGTCCAAGATCATGGCAATTTGAAATCGGATTCAACCGATGCGATATTCTTGCCGATCAATTTATATTTACAATGCCTAATTGACATTCTCACTAAAGAAAAGGATTGGGAGATCTATTCTTATGTTTTGTGTTTTCTCCCAATACAATTGAGCAAGAAACATTTATTCTGCGCATGCTATGAACAAATTCGTACTTTAAGAAGTTGTTTATGTGATTGGATTTCGAATAGTCGATTTGCCAAAGGCATGTTATTACCGAATGATATCAAGAAGATGGATATCTATGCGGTAGTTTACCAAACTTTAACTGTTCTCATCAGCTATCGCGACTTGTTTAATAAATCACAACGAGATGAACTAGTTTTGGCTTTTCACGTTGGTTTACAAAAATGGGCTCATACCGCAAAGCCTTGTATTCATGCACTTAATATCTGCTTATTTGAATTACCTCTTTCATCTACAAAACTTCTTCCAGACACTCTAAATAAATTATCGCAGATTATAACAACGGCAACAATGAGCGTTCATATTCTTGAATTTCTTTCTGGGTTAGCAAGGCTTCCACACCTTTATGTAAATTTTACGGAAGCTGATTACAAGCGTGTATTTGGAATTGCCATGCAATATATTCAATACAGCCAGACAGTTTCATCAACTTCTACTCCAAACAGTAGTAGCCATAATCAACCAAATACGTCGTCAAGTTCTACAACATCAGCAAGTTCGCAAAGTACCAATGCTTTATCACAATATGAAAGAGTTATGGCATATCATGTCATTTATATTTGGTTCATGTCTTTAAGGCTCCCAGAACGCCAAAAGTATGTGACTTTTATCGTTCATGGTTTATTACTTGCGAATGGGTCGAATCCAAAAGTGGACGAACAAACTGAAACATGTTTTGACATGCTTGCGCGTTACACATTTGCTAATTGTGATCCTAAACCCGAACAATCTTTTATTAATCAAATTTTATTAGAACAAGGGAAGGATAAAGTAATATCTCGTACTTGGGTTCAAGGGAATGCGTTCTTAACCATGCGTACAATGAAGTCATTTGGTTGGGCAGAGATTATAGTTCGTCGGCCATCTGGTAGTGTAGCATTCTTGTGCAAAGTTGAAAATCGAAACAAGTTGGAAGATGCAGATTTCATAACTTTGCCTGCAACTTTAATGGCTCATTATGATCCTGAATCTCAGAATATTATAACCCTTCCCGAAAGTGCAATTGACTTAGCTTCTGAAAAATTAGAAACCAATGATCCTATAAGAGGAGGAGAAGTAGTAGTAGTAAATAATCAGACTAATGTTGAGAACACAAGTCCTCTTGTGAAAGTGCAAGAAACTAAGGTGGAGGAAAGAAATGGAAATTCTACTTTAGAATCGGATAGTTCATCATCAGCAAATAATTCACCACATCTTGTTTCTTCAAAATTAGAGACTAATTCTAATACAGGATCTTCAGAAAATGATAGCGAGACATCCGTAACTAATTTACAAACGGAGGCCTTACCGGGTTCCGAGAATTACTTTGAGCAATACAATAATTTAACTGATGATATTAACGAACCACCTACCTCAAATGCATTAAAAGAAAAACACGTGATCAATGAAATTTTCACTGATCCTGCAAGTTTAATTGCTGATAAGAATATGTATCGCAAGGATGATCCCCATATTAATCCAAGCTTTTTATTCTTGCAAATTTCTCCTTATCCCGATCTCATATCTAAAGAGGCTCCTCGACCTTTACCAGACGAAGAATCTACAAATCGGGCATTATCAGTATTGGATCGTACGCCAGTCGTAGATTTTCACAAGATTGGCGTATTATATGTTGGAAAAAATCAGACCGATGAAATTGAAATACTTTCTAACGTTCATGGATCACAAGATTATATAGAATTTCTGAATAAATTGGGTAACTTGGTTCGACTAAAAAATTGTAAAAATGTATATACTGGAGGTCTGGATACAGAGTATGATATAGATGGGGAATACGCTTATTATTGGAAAGAAGATATTACTCAAGTGATATTTCATTGTGCTACTTTGATGCCAACAGATTTGGATCGTGATCCTCAATGTGCTGGAAAGAAGAGACATATTGGCAATGACTTTGTTACAATCGTGTTTAACAATTCCGGACAAGAATATGCATTTGATACACTACCAAGTCATTTTAACTTTATAAATATTGTTATTTCTCCTCATTCTCATCAAGACTTTTTCATTTCTTCCTTACAATCATCGAAAACAAATAATAATTCATTCTTCAAGGTTATAATGCAGCGTCGTTCAGATATGCCTGAAATTGGACCAATAACAGAATTTAAAATGGTATCAGCGGCAGCTTTACCAGCATTCGTTCGTCAAATGGCATTACATGCAAACATATTCGCTCAAGTATTTTTACAAAGTGGAGGCAGTAGAAATGTAGAGTATGTATCTAATTGGAAAGATCGTTTAAGGCAAATAAAACGTTTAAAAGAACGAACCGGAAGTAACACATCACACGATAATCAAGTTGATATGAATACAGTGTTGGGATTGGAACCTGTTATCGACTTTACTCGATATACTTGAGCCTTTATCCCAATCATGTATATAGATTCATAGAGTAATCCCGATTATCTATTTAACTTTTTTCATAAAAAAATGTATTATTATAAAGTGTAACTTAGATTGGTATTATATATTTTATATATATTCTTTAATATTTTTAATATTTCATTTCATTAAATAAATTTAGTTTCTCCTTATGACGTCAGCAATGTTGCACAACTTAAGAGTTGAGAACTACGACATGCTGATCGACAATTCTAAACTTGAAAAAGTTCCTGAAGCTTAAATAGTTGAATTTGTAATTCACACTTTTTTTTTTTATTTTTATTTTATTTTATTTTTTTTTTAAATTATCGTTTACACGCTAACAGCGTATCAGTAACTGTAAGCTATTTAAATATTTCCATTGTTTTTTTCTTATTTTTTTTTTTGTTGGCTTTTTTTTTGTTTGTAAATAAAAAAAAACATTTACACTCCTAAACTTTCGTATTTTTCAAAAGAAGGTCTCCGTTACTATTAAAAAAAGAAATTACACCACCCACTTTCCAACTTATCTCCGAACATACTCATGCAAGATATTTTACCATCAAACGGTGAAACTGAACGCGGTCGCGAACATGGCTCTTCTCGTTCGCGAGCCCTACGTTCACGTTCACCACGTCCCCGATCTATTAGTCGCAGTAGAACACGCAGTCGTAGTCCACGAAAATCGCGTTCTACTCGTCGTCATAGGCGTCGTTCATACTCCAAAACTTCTTCTAGTAGGAGTCGTTCAAGAAGTAAAGACAGAAGGAGAAGGTAACTGGTTTAGTTTTGATTTGTCTTTTATTTTTTTTTTTTAAAAAAAAAAATTAACATACCGTTTTTAGAAGCCCTATTAGGAGTCATGGGAGTCGCGATAGAAGCCGAGGAAGGAGGAGAGCGAGTAGAAGAGATGTAAGTTATAATAATTGATAAGCTTTGTTATCTTTTGGTAATTATAATCTCTAATTCACATTTATTTTGAAGGAACCTGAACCCAGCCATGTTTTGGGAGTTTTTAACCTGAGTCTTAGGACTACTGAAAAAGATCTACAAAACATATTTGAACGCTATGGAAGAGTTAATAATGTTACTATTGTATACGATCATCGGGTGCGTATTATAGCAAAGTTACATCTTTATGAGAGAAAAAAAATAAAATAATCTAATACGTATCTCTATGAAATCATAGAGCGATCGTTCTCGTGGATTTGGATTCGTTTATATGAATTCAATTGATGAATCAACCATTGCCAAGGACAAGACAAACGGCATGGTACGTAGATATGATGAAATTGGTTCTTGAAAATAGTAATTACTAATGAAGCGTATCTTTCGTGTATTATTCACTATCATTAGGAACTCAATGGTAGAAATATGCGTGTTGATTATTCATTGACTCAAAGACCGCATACTCCCACTCCTGGAGAATATATGGGCGATAGACCAAGATACCGTACTTCTTATTCTTATCGTCGAACACCTTCAGTCTCGCCTACACGTTTTAGAAGAAAAAGTCCTACACGTTCTAAAAGTCGTAGTTGGTCAAGGGATAAAAGAAGATCTCAGAGTCGTAGTTATTCAAAGAGGAGAAGGTCATATAGTCGTGCCAGGAGATCTCGAAGCTATTCTCATTGAATTAGTAAGCGTTAAAGTTTCAAATTTGAAATATTGATTCAATTCATCTTTGGTAAATTTTTTTTAATACTCATGTTTGTACCTTTTTTGAAGTTATAGGGAGTTATTAAGACAGATTTGATTCTAAATTCATTTTTCTTGCTTTAATTGAGGCTTGTTGTGATAGATATTGTTTTTGTTATTTTTTTTTTTGTGTTTCAGGAAAGTATACGAAAGCAAGATCTTTGGAAAAGAAAGCGGTGAAACCTTCTGAAGAGCCTAATCTCAAGTACATTATGTAAACTCGAAAAAAATGAAGTTTCGAATATGGACTTTTCAAGTTATATGAGATGCCAATTACTTCCTTATAAGAATAGGTGAAGGTTATGGCATTTTGTTGTTTTAATGTATTTTTTTCTTTTCCTTTTACTTTTTACTGTTATTCTGCTTGTTCCTGTCCCTTTCTTTTTTTGATATATATATTCCCAAGTAGGTATTGAATAAATTTAAAGAAAGAAAAGAAAAAAAAAAAATTTCTAAGCGTAATATAGTTTTTTTTTTTACTATTGATCTCATACCTTTTTTGCATGTTATATTAAACATGGGTAGCATTTCAGACATTGAAAATTATCAAGTTCGTGTTTTGAAGCAGTAAATACAACATGAAGGCTTTCCATTGGTAAAAAGAAAGAAGGAAAGAAAGAAAAGAAAAGAAAAGAAAAGAAAAGAAAATAATCAAACCGGGAGGTCCTCATACCATTCTAGGCCCTCTAAAAGAATGTTAATAATTCAAACTAAGTGAACATTATGGAAGAAGATCTTTAATGAACCCTTCTCAAGACGTGTGAAGCTCTAAATGAAATAAATCGAAGCTCCCTAAAAATTTCTGAAGTTTTCCGTCTTAAAAAGAAAGTTGTGGATATTTTGAAAGAATACTAAAAAAAAAAAAGTTAGGGAACTTTTGTTGAAAAGATCATATATATCCAACTTTCTTGTAACCAAATTTGTAGCAGACAAAAAATCACAGAATTCTTAAATTCAGTCATCGACGTAAAAGGTGAAATCGAGAAGTATCCAAGAATATGAACTTGGAAAGTATCAACAATTTGTAAACATAAAACAAAAAGTCTGGTTTGATATCTTTTTATTATAATCGTTTTGTTTTCTATAGAATACTAACTTTAATTCGTTCAAGAAAATAGATCTTTGTAGTTTAGCCTAAGGTTCTTAATTCTTTCATATGTTCTTAAATGTACTTGATTTACTTTAAACATTCCTAATTAATTTAAATGATCAGATTATTTGGTAAGTTATTTATTCTTTCTAATTATTCATAATTATTAGTGATAATATAATGATAATTATCCTAAATAAAATTAAAGTTATATTGAAGACGTTTTAATTTTACACATCATTTTTACTGCGCCATTATTTTTATCATTGTATCCGATCTCTTTCTAAAAATGAAACTTTGCATATATGATTTTTAAACGTGAAACCAATCTTTTTATGGTCAAGATTGCAAATAATTCGTTTTTGATTAAGGAGAAGGCGTTTTTTGATTGGTTGTACAAATCGTGACTTTTTGATTATTTGAACTTTTTCTAACTAGCCCATTGAAGTACATTTGTATAAAAATTTAATTGGAAGCTTCCAATCCAAATGGTTTTATTAGAAAATTATGCTTTCAAACCTTCCAAAGGTGGTTTTAAATTGTTAAGAGCACATTACTGCACTAGGCGGTGTTTATGTGCAAATTCGAAACATGCCTATATACTTTTAGAATATGTAAATGTGATCGTCTTTATATAATTTAAAAATTTTTTTTTCTTACTTTCTTTTACTTTGAAAAATGGAAACTTATGACAAAACAAATCATATATAATGATGACAATTCTGTAAATTTACCCTTTGGACGTGCTGCAGAATGGTACTTAGCTAATATACTAGTACCAGTATTACAAAATTAACATTTAAAAAACTAAAGTAGGCAAGGTTACTCTAAAACTTGTTAAAATGGTATTTTAACTATAGAATGCATACAAGAAGCAATAGATTACTTAGAATAAACCACCACAACTGGAACTAAAATTCTACAAATAGATGATATATTAGTTCTAACTACTAAATCAATTTAGGAATAGAGAAAGATCAGCAGTACTAGTTATTTGGTAATGTGCTACTTTAAACAATAAGAGTATTTGTTAACATTTATGTGGTAGAATTGGAAATTGTTTAGAAACTTGTGATCATTATTCCTTATACTAGGTAATAGAAACTGTAGAAAGTCTGAACAATAAATATGGTGATCACAAATCATAACATAATCATTCAGCAAAAAGGTATATAATCACATATATAACAGATAAATGTAGTAAATAAAATTGCATTAACTAAAATAATAAACAGGTGAACAGATTGATAAATTTATTAAATTGCATAATATTTAATAGTCCCCCGCTTATGCTTTAGATTAATAAACCTTTATACAGTATTAGAGTTATTTATAAATGTCAATTATTATAGTTATTTTCAAAATTTCACTATACATTACTATTCAAGAAACTCATCAATGTATTTTTAATAATGTTATTCATAAAATTTCTTGAATTAATTTAACTTATTCTATTAAAAATTCTATTACTTTAAATAGAAGAGCAGATCGTAGAATAGCTAAAAAAATAAAAGCCAAATTATTAACTTTATTTAATAATACATTAGAAAAAGTAATTAATAAAGTATTAGCAAATTATTATAAAATTTGTGATAATAAACTTTATAGACTTATGATAAGAGATAACAAAAAATTTAAAGATGATATTAGATCATAAATACAATTTAATAATTTGGTTAATAAATTATTAAAATCTCAAAAAATATATTATATTATCTAATACCAGATTTAGATTAACTAATCGAATTATCTAACTAATATTATTAACTAACTTTTTCTGATAGAATTTTGACTTAAAAATGAATATGATTATAAAAATATTTGCATTGATATTAATAGAAAGAATGATTTATATTTCATTATTCTTGAAAATAAAACTGATTATAATTTACTTTTAGTATTTGACAATTATATTATAAAAATAAGACAAATAAAATTATTTTAATAATTAATTTATTTATATTAAGATTTTTTTCAATAGCTTTAAGTAACAAAAAAATAATCAAACTATAAAACTAATAATTGAAGCTGTTAAAAGAAATATTCTTTGCAATAATATATCATAAAAATATAGATGATATTGTAAAAACTTAATTTCAAAAAATGGGTTTCAACAAGTTTGTAAATGTCAAAATAATAATCAAAAAATTATAGATAATAATTGACAAATATAGACTATTAAATCTGACAATTAAAATATATTACGTGA